TATTGCTCTTCTACCTCCACCTTCCTTCGGCATCAGCTTCCTTCCCTCATGGTAATAATCTTACCCAGTTTTGCCTTCCTCTTGTCAGGTTTCATCACGCTACAAGCTCTCCCCTCCTCCTCCTCCTCTCGTTACCCCACCTGCCGTGGCTGCATGAGGCAGGTCAGAGGAACGTGAGTCAAGGAAGCAACAGCAGGCGACCCCGAACAGGATAATGACGGGTTCAGCGGTCCCCGTTGGCCCGGGGCGACCCGCGTGTGGCCGCGCCCGGGTCACTCCATACTCTCCCGGCCTGGGGGGTTATCTGCTCTATAATATCATCACCCCCCTCAACCCTTCATCCTCCTCCTCCTCCTCTCTCCCCCATCACCCACCTGCTTCCTCCCCATGATCATTGTGGTCATCATTCATCTCCTCCCCCACCATAAAACCCCACATACGCCCACCACCCACTTTCTTGCACGCCTTCGTGCACAATCTATTCCGTCCGATAGTGTGCACTCTATATTATTACAACAGTTAACACTGTGCAGCATCACTGAGAGCACTCAGGGTATGGGTAACCATGTGTATCAGTGCTAAACCGACGGTTCTGTAGAAGAAGGTGGACGATGTACCGGATGTGCATGTAATATATTTAAACAATCTTCTCTCGTACATACAGCAATGAAGCGCGTCAATGATTGGGCAAGTACAACTCAAACCCAACTTGCAGGCATATACCTTGCCACTGAATTTTTTAAAAAACAAAGGGAGTGAATAACTACAAAGACTTATATACTGTGACTCGCAGAGTGCACTCCTGCCATTGAACGCACATAATAGTAACACCCAGAAAATAGTCAGTGATATTCGAATGAATGTTTTACCTGGTAAAGAAAACAGATTTGAAATTAAATTCTTTTGGATACCATCAGATGTTGGCATCTGAAAGCATGACACTGTTGATATGCTTACAAAAACAGCCCGTGGAAAACCAGTAGTAGAAATTGATATGGGTGTTTCATTAGTAGTGACAAAGTGAAATACTTAAATAAATATCTAACGAAAATCTTACCGACCTAACAAATCCACAAAGACTTGAAAGTTGTAGCATTAAACATTATGATAAATATCGTTAGGAGACATTTATATATCGAAGTAACAGAGCAAGAACCCGGCAATGTGATGTTATAGTGTTACACACACACACACACACACACACACACACACACACACACACACACACACACACACACACACACACACACACACACACATTAAAATATATATATATATATATATATATATATATATATATATATATATATATATATATATATATATATATATATATATATATATATATATATATATATATATATATATATATATATATATATATATATATATATATATTATATATATATATATATATATATATTATATATATATATAATATATATATATATATATATATATATATATATATATATATATATATATATATATATATATAACTGAAAACTCACACCCCAGAAGTGACTCGAACCCATACTCCCACAACTGGTATGTACAGGGACGCCTTAATCCACTTGACCATCACGACCGGACATCACACCCCAAAGTCACTTCTGGGGTGTGAGTTTTCAGTTGTATATAGTCCTGGGGACCATTCAGGCTTGTTTGCATATATATATATATATATATATATATATATATATATATATATATATATATACATACATATATTAGCTTAGTTGTAAGTTGGGCGGCAACTAGGGAGAGCCTCCAGTCCTCTTCACACAGTTAAGTCGTTCCTGAAAAAGAACAAAGAGCCAGACGAAGAGACTGACAAGCAGCTTCCCAAGACGACACACATTACCACACACCGTCCTCAGGCGCCTGAGCCACCTAGACAACCAGACACACTGACAGACAGACAATTAGGGGAGAGAGAGAGAGAGAGAGAGAGAGAGAGAGAGAGAGAGAGAGAGAGAGAGAGAGAGAGAGAGAGAGAGAGAGAGAGAGAGAGAGAGAGAGAGAGAGAGAGAGAGAGAGAGAGAGAGAGAGAGAGAGAGAGAGACAGAGAGAGAGAGAGCCTAGCTCCAGGCAGCAGTTGCCGGTTGAGGCCTTTTCCCGGGCGCATAAAGATTAACCAGTAAGCAGGAGGAAGGAGAGCGCGTCGGGTGATAACTCGGCCTCCTAGACACGCGGGTATTGATATTTCATAAACTTGCCGCCGCTGAAGCCAGACCAGCGGTGCCCCAAACTTCGCTTCAGTTGCTCTCCGCCCGGAGTCGCAACACCGAGTTTACTAATGTTGCTTAACGGGTGACTGGGAGTTACTGGAGGCTGTATCAGAGATAACAGTGGGTGTAGACCCAGCAGAGGTACGTCCTGGTGGACGGGTGGAGGCGCTGACGCCCCCCTCCTTGACGCTTCTACGTGTTCCAGGCAGGACTTTGTCGGACCTGCGCACACCCACAGGCACAAAGATGGACGTGTCCCCCTAGTGCGTGTACCACACGGGTGGCACACGCACTAGGGGACACAGGTGGAAGATGAGTACCCAAATGAGCCACAGAGACGTCAGAAAGAAAGTTTTCAGTGTCAGAGTAGTTAGTAAATGGAATGCACTAGGAAGTGATGTGGTGGAGGCGGACTCCATACATGGTTTCAAATATAGATATGATAGAGTTCGAAAAGCTCAGGAATTTGTACACCAGTAGATTGACGGTTGAGAATCGGGACCAAAGAGCCAAACCTCAACTCCCGCAAATACAACTAGAGTAAATGCGTCTGACCTGCGCACGCCCATATAAACAGGCGTCTGACCTGCGCACGACCATATAAACAGGCGTCTGAACTGCGCACGCCAATATACACAGGCCTCTGCCCTGCGCACGACCATATAAGCAGACGCCTGCATTGCGCACGCCCATATAAACAGGTTCTGAACTGCGCACGCCTATATACATAGGCGTCTGACCTGCGCACGTACATATTAACAGGCGTATGAACTGCGCACGCCCACATAAACAGGCGTCTGACCTGCGCACATACATATTAACAGGCGTATGAACTACGCACGCCCAAATACCCTGGCGTCTGTCCTGCGCACGGCCATATAAACAGGCGTCTGACCTGCGCACGCTCACATACACAGGCGTCTGACCTGCGCACGCCCATATAAACAGGCGTCTGACCAGCGCACGCACACGTACACAGGCGTCTGACCTGCGCACGCTTACATACACAGGCGTTTGACCTGCGCACGCTCACGTACACATGCGTCTGAACTGCGCACGCCCATATAAACAGGCGTCTGACCTGCGCACGCTCACATACACAGGCGTTTGACCTGCGCACGCTTATGTACACATGCGTCTGAACTGCGCACGCCCATATAAACAGGCATCTGACCTGCGCACGCTCACATACATATGCATCTGATCTGCGCACGCCCATATAAACAGGCGTCTGACCTGCGCACGCTCACATACACAGGCGTCTGACCTGCGCACGCTTACATACACAGGCGTCTGACCTGCGCACGCCCATATAAACAGGCGTCTGTCCTGCACACTCCCATATAAACATATATGCAGGCGTCTGAACTGCGCACGCCTATATACACAGGCGTCTGACCATGTAAAAAACTTGCTTGGGTTTAAGGCTTCGGCTCTTTGGTCCCGCCTCTCAATTGTCAATCAACTGGTGTACAAGTTCCTGAGCCTACTGGCCTCTATCATATCTACACTTGAAACTGTGTATGGAGTCAGCCTCCACCACATCACTTCCTAATGCATTCCATTTATTTACCACTCTAACACAAAAAAATATTTCTAATGTTTTTATGGCTCATTTGGACCCTCAGTTTCCACCTGTGTCTCCCTGGTGTATATGCCCCTAGTGTTAAATAAACTGTCTTTGATTACCCTATCATTCATCTGAGAATCTTGTATGTGGTGATCATATACCCCGGTATATGATCACCGGCTCCCGGTTGGGAGCCGGTCGGCCGAGCGGACAGCACGCGGGACTTGTGATCCTGTGGTCCTGGGTTCAATCCCAGGCGCTGGCGAGAAACAATGGGCAGAGTTTCTTTCACCCTATGCCCCTGTTACCTAGCAGTAAAATAGGTACCTGGGTGTTAGTCAGCTGTCACGGGCTGCTTCCTGGGGGTGGAGGTCTGGTCGAGGACCGGGCCGCGGGGACACTAACAGCCCCGAAATCATCTCAAGATAACCTCAAGATAACCCCCTAACTCTCCTATCTTCCTGCGACGTGAGGTTTAATTCGCGCAGTCTCTCCTCATAGTTCATGTGTGTGTGTGTGTACTCACCTATTGTGCTTGCAGGGGTTGAGCTTTGGCTCTTTGGTCCCGCCTCTCAACCGTCAATCAACTGGTGTACAGATTCCTGAGCCTATTGGGCTCTATCATATCTACACTTGAAACTGTGTATGGTGTCAGCCTCCACCACATCACTTCCTAATGCATTATATTTGTCTACTACTCTGACCCTGAAAAAATTCTTTCTAATGTCTCTATGGCTCATTTGGGCACTCAATTTCCACCTGTGTCCCCTAGTGCGTGTGTCCCTTGTGTTAAAAAGTCTATCTTTATCTACCCTATCAATTCCTCTGAGAATCTTGTATGTGGTGATCATGTTCCCTCTAACTCTTCTGTCTCCCAGTGACGTTCTGTCATTATTATGTAGACGGTCGGACACTTACCAACCGTGAGACCTAAATGTAATGCATTTATTCTCAAGAAAGTAACCTTTATTTATAAGAAAATCTTGTTTGTGGTCTTCGGAGAGAACACATCTGATCACGCCAATGGTTGCATAAATATACTTCAGGAAGTAATAGTATCAGTGAGAGGAACACTTCTATTTCTTCCCATCAACTACGTTAGAATCTCAGCTCTAGCTTGTGGACGTTTTCTGTGATGTAATGGCATAAAAGACAAACACAAATCTACAAAAACAATATATTTGTAGCATAGACGCCATATTCAAGAAAATTCGCATTAAAATACTGAACAAAATTTTCCCTATTGCTTCAGTATTAATGCATCCCTTCTGACACCTTGGAATTTCACCGGAGAGAGTTTGTCCAATGCATCTACTGCAGAGTGAAGGAGTATATGATTTCACCGGCGCCTGCTTCATCGCCGTGACGTTTGGCTTGGCCCCCTGGAGGTACCACCCGCCCCTCCACGAAGTCCAAAGATTCATCTTGCTGCAAGATGGCGGGTGCGTCTTGTGCTTGGCTGGATGCCCCTTGTTGCACACCTCCCTCTGCCTCAAATATTGTTGCTTCCAGGAGTCGAGAGTCCTGTACACCAGAAGGCTGTGTTAGAATATCTTGGGTGACTGAAGAATGAGTTAGAATGTCTTGCGCAACGGGAGTCTGGCACAGAGCTTCTTGAGGCTCATTCAGGGCTTTGCCAGTAATTTGAGGCTGATTCAGAATCTCTTGAGTTACTGCAGCGTGCCTTAAAGCCTCTTGATTTACTGTAGTTTGAGTAAGTACCTCGTGAGCACATGAAGCGTGAGGCAGAACCTCATGCGCCTGACGGTTAATACTCGTGTCCTCACCTTGCGTCAGCACTTCTGCAGCCTCGGCCACAACTTGCAGAGGATTAAATACGTGCGTTGCGTGAAGGACTTGCTGCTGCTGAAGCCGATTCCTTTGCGAGCACAACACCATCGCATTATCGTGCTGGGTAGAGACACTTGGCTCTCCTGCTATTAGAGCAGCATCCGCCACTACCTGTGACTCTAAGGCCATCACCTGATCCGACGGGACAATAACTGTCCCTTCAGCCGGGTTCCTGGCATCCTGTGGGTGGCCGCAAGAGGTTCCTTCCACCATGTGGTGCTCATGGATTGTGGTCTGCAGCTGACGGAGGAAGAAAAGTCTCATAAACACCCCGAAGCAATCAGATCATCACGTCCATATTTGCTTATACGTGTGCTTAAAAGTAAATATATTATAGATTTGACCCCCTCCCCCCCAAAAAAACATAAAATGCCCATTTAGTTCATCACCACAACTCTTAGACATTACCTGTTGGCTAGGGTGGTGAAGGTGGTGCTGAAGGTGCTTAGGCTGGAGTGTGGCGATGGAGATGCAGTCGGAGGGGGATGTGGTGAGGCCGAGCGTGGGCAGGAAGGCGGCCACGTCCTCAGGCTGGTCCACTTCTTTATCCGGAAGGATGAGGATCACATGACGTGTCCCGTCGTCGTCCTCTCCCTCGCCTGCGCCTCCTTCAGGCAGGTGCTGGATCTGCTCGGTGGTGTGCATATTATATATATATATATATATATATATATATATATATATATATATATATATATATATATATATATAATCCGTCAACCATCATATAGTGGCTAATAACATTTCATTCACTTGTACACAATGAGCCTCGAACTGCCAACCACATTGACAGTAACTAGCCTCTCTACCAAATGAGTCCCAAAAACTCCATTAAAGTTATGGTTCCGTTTGACATATACACAAACACCCATGTACAAGAGATATCCAAAGGCTATACTCATCGAATATACAGTAAATACACAAATACTAAGCCACCAACAAAAGAAATCAAATGCATGAATAATAATACCCGAAGCAACATTTCTGAGTTCCCGTGTGGTGACCCCAGCCAACACCAGCCCGTGTGGTGACCCCAGCCAACACCAGCCCGTGTGGTGACCCCAGCCAACACCAGCTCGTGTGGTGACCCCAGCCAACACCAGCTCGTGTGGTGACCCCAGCCAACACCAGCCCGTGTGGTGACCCCAGCCAACACCAGCCCGTGTGGTGACCCCAGCCAACACCAGCCCGTGTGGTGACCCCAGCCAACACCAGCCCGTGTGGTGACCCCAGCCAACACCAGCCCGTGTGGTGACCCCAGCCAACACCAGCCCGTGTGGTGACCCCAGCCAACACCAGCCCGTGTGGTGACCCCAGCCAACACCAGCCCGTGTGGTGACCCCAGCCAACACCAGCTCGTGTGGTGACCCCAGCCAACACCAGCCCGTGTGGTGACCCCAGCCAACACCAGCCCGTGTGGTGACCCCAGCCAACACCAGCCCGTGTGGTGACCCCAGCCAACACCAGCCCGTGTGGTGACCCCAGCCAACACCAGCCCGTGTGGTGACCCCAGCCAACACCAGCTCGTGTGGTGACCCCAGCCAACACCAGCTCGTGTGGTGACCCCAGCCAACACCTCGTGTGGTGACCCCAGCCAACACCAGCCCGTGTGGTGACCCCAGCCAACACCAGCTCGTGTGGTGACCCCAGCCAACACCAGCCCGTGTGGTGACCCCAGCCAACACCAGCTCGTGTGGTGACCCCAGCCAACACCAGCCCGTGTGGTGACCCCAGCCAACACCAGCTCGTGTGGTGACCCCAGCCAACACCAGCTCGTGTGGTGACCCCAGCCAACACCAGCCCGTGTGGTGACCCCAGCCAACACCAGCCCGTGTGGTGACCCCAGCCAACACCACCCCGTGTGGTGACCCCAGCCAACACCAGCCCGTGTGGTGACCCCAGCCAACACCAGCCCGTGTGGTGACCCCAGCCAACACCAGCCCGTGTGGTGACCCCAGCCAACACCAGCCCGTGTGGTGACCCCAGCCAACACCAGCCCGTGTGGTGACCCCAGCCAACACCAGCCCGTGTGGTGACCCCAGCCAACACCAGCCCGTGTGGTGACCCCAGCCAACACCAGCCCGTGTGGTGACCCCAGCCAACACCAGCCCGTGTGGTGACCCCAGCCAACACCAGCTCGTCACCACTCAACACAAACGCGTGCAATGTTGAGATGCTTTTAATGTTTAGCATTGAACTCACACACATATTTTGGGTCGAGGGTGGCGCACTGAGTCGGGTGATCAATCCCAGTTATATTCTGACTTTTTACCTCTAATGCATTTAATGTATATTGGCAGTGGGAACGACAGGGAGTAAATACCTCCCGTGGCAGTAAAGTCAGGTGGCAAGAAAGCTATGCAATAAGAAAAGCATGTAGTAAGGTATTCATTCATCCAGTAGGAAAGTCATGTCGTAAGACAGCCATGTAAGAGAGCCAAGCAGTAAGAGAGCCAAGCAGTAAGAGAGCCAAGCAGAGGCACCACACAGAGTGCGTAAGATACACAGAGCCGGATGGATGGATGGGTCAGTAACACCTTAACTCATCTTGACCACACGAGTCGCCACATATACTCGCCAAGGTCATAACCACAAACACACACACACACATCTGGTCGCCTCGGCAGCACAAGACCCAAAATAACACAGTCACCCCTGCTTTCACACCTTGATTATAAACAAAACATTAAATTCAATTCAAAACAAACATGCTTACAAAGACACAAGAGTTATATAGTGATACTACGGGTGTGGGGGTGTGGGGTGTGACCTATAGCAACCATGGTTGACACCTACCACTATCCTCAGTGGATGGGGCGCCACCCCCTGGGTTGGGTTAGGCCTGAGGATGTAGGGACGGTTGGGGGCGCGCAGGTAAAACCGCGTCCCTCGATTGGCTGCTCCTGCAGGGAACTGGCGTCCAAGCTCGTCTCTAACTTCTGAAACCAAACAATAGAGAACTTATTATTATTATTAGTTTTTTTTTTTTTTTGATGCGTGAATATTGGAGGTCAGTAGCCAGAGGTAAGGTAAGACCGACGAGAATGTTGGGTTGTCGACGCGTCAGCTGGTAGTACAGAAAGGTACTAAGAAAGCCAGGTGTAAGAAAGCCAGGTGTAAGAAAGCCAGGTGTGAGAAAGCCAGGTGTAAGAAAGCCAGGTGTAAGAAAGCCAGGTGTGAGAAAGCCAGGTGTAAGAAAGCCAGGTGTAAGAAAGCCAGGTGTGAGAAAGCCAGGTGTAAGAAAGACAGGTGAGAGAAAGCCAGGTGTAAGAAAGCCAGGTGTAAGAAAGCCAGGTGAAAGAAAGCCAGGTGTAAGAAAGCCAGGTGTAAGAAAGCCAGGTGTAAGAAAGCCAGGTGTAAGAAAGCCAAGAGATACAATATAGAATTACAGAATGGAGTTTTTCTGATGAACTTGCTATAGTTGAATGACAAGACGGCACTGATTTGAACAAGAGAATATAGGCGTCTTGGGCACGGTGCTAAGGCCTTTAGCTACATATACAGCATGTAAGACTGAGAAAGGTTGAACCGACTGGATCTTCCTTGACTGCCAGAAAGCCTTCGAAGTTGTTCCTCACAGGAGACTGTGAGGACGTTGTTCCTCACACACGTGGGAAGCAAGCAGGAGTAACTGGACGTGCTGGATAGTATAAGAGAATATCTCTCTTCAGCAGAGAGCAACAGTGAGAAGAGATGAGAATGGAGGGAAGTGACCTGTTGAACATTACAAAAACAAACACTTAAGCTGATCCTGATGTATGCCAATGACTTAATGAAGAATAGGACCTGCCTCGTATGGGCCAATAGCCCCTCTGCAGTTCTTACTACTACGCCTTACTTTGCTCCTCATCTCTCTCGTGCCTATTTATTGCCAGTCTCTACTTCCTCATCACAATCGACTTGAGAATGGTCCAGGACGGACCGAAACGTCGTCGTCCCTTCACATTCTAGTGTGTGGTCTGGTCAACACATAATGAAGAAGATTATGCATGTTCAAATCTATGGAGACGAATCAGAGTGATGGATTTTAATTTCAGGAGAAATTATGAGGAGAAAGCACTAAGCCAGTTTGACTATACAGCACTTGGAATGGATATGAAGACAGGGATCTGGGACGGAACGGAAGGAAGGAACGCTGCACAACCATTTCGTCCGTCGGCAGAATGAAGGACTGCATAATGCTTCAGAAGGTCTTTGACAAACAAACTACATACCAGGCCTACAAAAAAAAGGCTAACTGACTGAAATTAAAAGACGACCAATGTGATGAAATCGTGACCTGAGGTGAAGAATCATCAGTGGCGGTGCTACTGGGAACATTGTGTTCCCAGTAGCTGAATCTGGAACAACAACGGAGCCAGGTCAAGCCACGGGGTCGAAACTAGGGATCAGTTTAGTAACCCTTAGGCACGTTGTGACGCTGTAGGCTACCATTGCTATGTATCCTAGACGCTGTAAGCTATCACTGCTATGTATACAAGACGCTGTAGGCTATCACTGCTTAGTATCCTAGTGTGGACTCTCCGCCTAAACACTAGGACGTGAGACTACAGGAAACTACGGAAGGCCTATTGGGCCATGCTATTTATATCCAACAAATTAGCTATATCCATAGAAATAAAAGAAAATCCAGATTTTACTATAAGATGGATGAAATTAAGGGGTTGCAAAGCTGCATTTCTTTAGCGTAAGAACAGTGACCCAGTGAATGCAGCAGGAAGTGGAAGTGTCTGAGGCTGACTTTATAATGATCTGAGGCTGACTTTATAATGATCTGAGGCTGACTTTATAATGATCTGAGGCTGACTTTATAATGATCTGAGGCTGACTTTATAATGATCTGAGGCTGACTTTATAATGATCTGAGGCTGACTTTATAATGATCTGAGGCTGACTTTATAATGATCTGAGGCTGACTTTATAATGATCTGAGGCTGACTTTATAATGATCTGAGGCTGACTTTATAAAGTGTCAAGTACGAATAATAGGAAATAAAAGTGTAGGAACAATTGGAATAGGTAACTGGCGACTGAAATAGGGCTCCCCAGGTGCGTCACTCACACTGTGCGCTCATATGTGGGGGGGGGGCAGCACATATAGACACACATGTGTTACGTGGTCACATAACAGTCTGAATGACAACGTGGAGGTCCTTTTATTCTCATACACACACACACGTACCATCATAATTCACATGCAGCTTCAATCATTAAATTCTTGATTGATAAGTGCTTGTAAGTGCTCACTTACTAGCACACCATGCTAGCATGAGGCGCGCACACATCATACTGCCATGATTCTTACACAATACACCACCATAATTATCATACCTCATTCAATCATGATTCTCCCACAAGTGTATATATATATATGTACATGATTCTCACATATGTTTTTTTGAGTATATTGTACAGCCTAGCCAATATTATTCACCTGATCACTACATACGACAGACAGGCGTCTCGCTAGCCTGCGCTCGATCCCAAATGGTCTTTATATCCCCCTTACAAGTTCTATACAAAAATGGTAACTTGGACCAAAACTTTCACAGCTGCAGGTTGACGCTATGGGGTCAGTGCAACACCACTGGCGATGTGTTGCATCAATGTTGAGTCTCGGGGGGATGGGGGGGGGGGACGTTAATTTTTAGGCTGCAGCTGCTACTGAGCCGTCACGGCTAACTATCGCGTTGGATCATAATGAATGATGAATGATTTAGGTAAGAATGATACTAAAAGTTGATCACTTGGCCAGAATACTGCTTTCCGTTATAGAAGATTGAAATGCTAATGTTTACTTATTAAACCTGACTATTATCGTATATTGTATAGCCTTGTATATATATATATATATATATATATATATATATATATATATATATATATATATATATATATATATATATATATATACCTGTTTAACGTCCGATAAAAGGGGGGCTTTTTATGCATTCTACTTGCTTATATAAGCACGCATGCGCAAGAACAGATACCAGTACTGTGCACTAAAACTGAGAGTAAGGATTTATGATCTGAACTCAACCCCGGTACGCACAGTTAGATTAACACACACACACACACACACACACACACACACACACACACACACACACACACACACACACGTTTGCGACGAGGCTCGTCCCAGAGTTACGAGGGTTGGGATATGAAGAGCGCCTGAAGGAACTGAACCTTACGACACAAGAAAAAAGAAGGGAGAGAGGGGATATGCTAGGGATATATAAAATACTCAGGGGAATTGACAGAGTGGAAATAGATGAAATGTTCACACGTAATATTAACAGAACGAGGGGACATGGATGGAAGCTGGAAACCCAGATGAGTCACAGAGATGTTAGGAAGTTTTCTTTTAGCGTGAGAGTAATGGAAAAATGGAATGCACTTAACGAGCAGGATGTGGAAACAAACTCTATTCATAATTTTAAAACTAGATATGATGTGGAAATAGGACCGGAGTCATTGCTGTAAACAACCGATGGCTAGAAAGGCGGGATGCAAGAGTCAATGCTCGATCCAGCAGGCACAAATAGATGAGTACACAAACATCTGCAGTTAATCGAGAGAACATTAATGACACCGTAGCCACAGATGACCACAAAGGGAAGTAAGGGAAACATTTCGTTTAGCGTGTAAGTAATGCTCAAGATGTTACCCACCTCCTTCCCCCGGTCCAGTGATCACTGACCTGCTTCAAGGTGGAAGTTCCCAGACGTTGTTCCTCCTCTCCCGGGCAGCTCCCCGGCGCTTCCTGCCCCCACCTCCTCCTCCACCACCTCCGTGGCCTGCCCGTGCTCGTCCTCGGGGACTCCGTGCTGGGCCACGTACTCCAGCTGGTGCCCGGAGGGTGGGGTCTGGGAGAGGACGTCCTCCTCGCCCTCCACCGTGTCCTCGCTGCCCGGGTCCTCCTCCTCCTCCTCCTCCTGGTCCTCACTCTTGACGCTGGGGTCAACTGACCGCCGACTCCAAGGGTATACAAGTTGCACATTACATCTTAATATCATTCATTTATGATAAAAAATATTTGCAATTTATAAATATAGATACCTCTGTTATCATAGATATGGTTCCCAATTAAAAGTGCAGTAATATACTTGATTTCGACTACAGTATTTTTTTATGTACAATACCTTATATATGTTATATTAACGTACTGGTTTACTGTAATCTAATGTGAAATACAGACAGACTATAAGTGACAAAATATATGTGTGATAAAACCCCACAGATTCGAAAAAAAGATGAACTACTCAATATTTCGGTTTCCAAATTGGGAAGCCTTCTTCGGCAGAATGAAAAGTGTGACGGAGAAGCCGCCGATACGAGGACTGAGTAAGTAACCAGACGCCGGCTTGCCGTCCCGTCAACAGCCTCGTGTAACACACCATACAAGGTGTTGTATGCTGTTGTATGTATGCTGTTGTATGTATACTGTTGTATGTATGCTGTTGTATGTATGCTGTTGTATGTATGCTGTTGTATGTATGCTGTTGTATGCTGTTGTATGTATGCTGTTGTATGTATGCTGTTGTATGCTGCTGTTGTATGTTGCTGACAAGATTTTGGTGCCCACTAAGCCATGGAAGATATTAAAGTTTGAAATATTATCTTCCTGTATGAATTATATTATTGTTTTTGCCTTTTAAAACTGTCTGTTTAAAGCAGGAGGCCAGACGCCTGGGGGTAGCTTCGCCCAACTTTTCAACACGACAGACGGGTGGTATATGACTGTCATAGGTTGGTCGGGGGGGGGGGGAGGTCAGTCATATTGCTTCTTGTATGAAATATCGGCTCCGACAGTGACCCCCCCCCTCCCCCACAACCACTTGTATTTTGATTAAGTATAGATTTTTTGAGGAGTTTCATGTTTTCGTAATATCATAGTGTCTAAGGTAGCTGCACAAATGCAGATGTACCTAAATGTGTAGATAATAAAAAAAAAAATCGTAATATGCAGAGAGAGAGAGGAAAGAGAGAGAGAGAGAGAGAGAGAGAGAGAGAGAGAGAGAGAGAGAGAGAGAGAGAGAGAGAGAGAGAGAGAGAGAGAGAGAGAGAGAGAGAGAGAGGGGAGGGAGAGCAGGAGGAGGGCAGGGGGATTCCCCTGGGCACCTCCGGGTATTCCCATATATATTGTGACGGTAACGCGTTGGTGTTCGGCTGTTTAAGGCTAGGGGTATGGCCTCGTCACATAGTTATAAAAAAAAATAGAAAAACTGGAACTTCGTCTGTGGTAAGGTAAGGAGAAGACACACAAAACACAAGTAAAACTTTAACAATGAAATTTTAATTACGTTAAATAAATCAAAACATGAAAATATGGACAAACAAATATGTATAATAAAATCAATGAATCAAAATAATAAGAATACTTAAATGACACAATGAAAGTTACGTTAAGGCAAAATAATAAGAAGTGCAACACAAAAGTTAAGTGGGAGGTGCTGGAATATTGGCTTAAAGCCACCACCTCTCTCAGTACACGCTAACGTCTAGCTGGGAGGAGTGCTGGCTACGAAAGCACGGAACATTCTGAGGACTGATGTTGGGGCGACCCCAGACATCAGGTAGTATTGGGGGCGAGTGCAGGTGCAGCCAGACCGGCGACCAATCAGCGGAGCCGTAGCGATCAACGGGTAGTTTGGTGGTTGGAGTTCGAACAGGTGGCTGGTTGCATACGTTTCTGCTCACCCTGGCAAGCCTTGCTGGTGCTGGTGTTGTTGTACATTTCTTCCATAGTCTTTTTATATAATTGTGAAGACGTAATTTTGGAGGGAAGAGCAGGCTCAATCTCTTGAAGGAGATTATCGTCACAACTCTCCCCCGAAGCCTGCGGTTCTGGAAGAAGTACGTCGTTATGTGGTGGAGTAATGGATGGAGTTGCTTCTACTTCATAAACTCTGGAGAGATCATGGGCTAAGATGTTGTCAGACTCTTGGTATAGCGTGTCTCCAGGTTGAATTTCTGCAGTTAGCAGGCCCATAGTAGAAGACGTTGAGATGAGAAGTGGGCGTGCTGCAGGAGGTGTAGGGTGGTGTGGTCCGTATTGATGGTGGACCGAGCACTTTTCAGGTGTGGAGTGAAGTGCTGAAGCTTCAGGATGAGGAAGAGTAGCTCCTTGCCAATTGTTCCGTCGTTCCTTGTAGCAGTAGTCGCTGACAGGTGTATTCTTCTCGCCTCGTTGCTGCATCACGACACCACCATCGTCGGTACCATTGGCGTCGACATGGAGGATGTAGGGCTTATCTGACGAGGTGAGAGTGGAATTAGAAGAGGGCATAGGAGCACGATTATTATCCTGAAAGCATTTGGGAAGATCATTAAGGATTTTGGAATTAGAAAGCGCCGACTCCTTGTCAGTGCTTTCGGGAGAAGAAGCCGGGATGGTCTCACTGTGGATGTAGGGTTCTGTGAAGGTAGAACAATTAATCAAGACAGTGGGAGGAGTACCATTATATTGCTTCAGGAGGTTGACGTGGCACAGCTGGGTCTTCCGCCGCCTATCTGGAGTCTCTATCACATAATTATTATTATTCCTGCACTCTTTGACGCAGTAGGGTCCTGAAAATTTGTTTTGTAAAGGTGAACCTGGGATAGGGAAATAAGCAAGGACGAAGTCTCCCGGCTTGAATTTTCTTACTTTGCTGGTCTGGTCGTAATGAGTCTTCATTCTCACCTGGGCTTTCAATAGATTATCATGGGCAAAGCGGTGGACTCTCTCTAGAATGTGTTGAAGGTTTTGAAGAAACTGGGGCACATTCTGATGCTCACTGAAGGTGGCATCTCTGAGAGAGTCTTTGAAAGCCTTAAGGGGAGTACGGCACTTACGGCCGTAGAGCATCTCATAAGGAGATACTCCTAGGGACTCATTGGGGAGACTTCTGAAAATACACATTATTAGGTCAATCTGCTTATCCCAATCCTTTGAGGTTTCACTACAAAACTTTTTCAAGAGTGCTTTGATGGTCTGATGACTACGTTCAAGAGAACCCTGTGAAGCAGGATGATAGGGGCTGGACAATACCTGTTTGATGTTGAACTCCTCCAGTGTCCTTTTGAAGAGATCACTGGTGAAGTTGGTGCCACAGTCACTTTGAATCTCCCTGGGAAATCCGTATTGAGTGAAGATCTTCAATAGATGTTTGATAACCGTAGCAGCCGTGATGTTCTTCACTGGAACTGCTATGGGAAATCTGGTGGTAGGACACAGGATGGTTAGGATGTAGGCGTTACCTGAACTGGTCCGAGGTAAAGGACCAACACAGTCTATTATGAGTCTGTGGAAAGGTTCCGCAGGCACCTGTATGGGAATCAGTGGTGCTCTGGGAATGGAGACGTTCGGTTTGCCTGCCATCTGACATGTATGACACTGTTTTACGTACTGTTTGACGTTGTTTACCATACCTGGCCAGTAGTAGTCTTGACGAATCCCATGGTAAGTCTTGTTGAAGCCGTAGTGGGAGAATGCTCCATGGGCCAGGTGTAGAATAGTGGGCCGCAGGCTGGTGGGAATCACAAGTTGTTCGGTGTTGGCCCAATCGTCCTCCTCCTTCAGTTTACTGGGTCTATATCTGCGGTAGAGCAAGTCGTTCTCTAGGAAGAACCCAGGAATACTGTCGGGTTGAGTCTCAGCCTGGAAAAACAATGGTGTTAAAGTAAGATCTTCCCTCTGCAACTTACGGAACTCCAACTTGGTCAGATGCGGGGGTAGTTTCTGAGGGTCTTGAGGGACAGCGGTAGCAGTAGCGTCAGCTGGCTGTGGACGTGCGGCTTGTGCACGGGTGGTCACGAGAACCGGAGGAGAAACTTCATCACTCTCTTGAACCTCTGCTGGAACATACTCAAGAATAGGGTTTCTGGGCACAGAGTTACACACCTGGGGTTTGTCCATGACGATCAGGTTGGTCGGTTGCAGGTCTTCTGCCAAGTCGTTGCCTAGGAGAAGTTGCACTCCAGGCATGGGAAAAGGCTTTTCCCTGACGGCGACTTGGACTTCCCCGTTCACGTAGGGACAATCCAGGTGGACTCTGGCGAGAGGGTATGGAGTGGTAGCAGTGAGGTCAGTGATGAAGACTGTTTCCCCGGTGTAGACTATGTTGGGCACAGCCGACTTCAAGATGATCGATTGTAGAGCCGCTGTGTCCCTCAAGATCTTCAATTTGAAACGTCCCTCCGGATTTGAACCGTTGGCAGAGACAGTTCCAGTATACAGGTGGTTACTGAAAAGAGAAAGATCATTAACATCAACACCAACATTCATCACAGGCTTACCGGACTTAGGAGGAGTTGGTTTGGGTCGTTGTTGGTCAGTGGTTCCCTTGTATTGAGACTTACCACACTTGTCTATGGTATGTCCATAGAGTCTACAATATTTGCAGTACAGTTGTGAACCAGCTTGATCGGGGCTCACCTTCTCGTAACTGTACCACGACTTCTTACTGGAGGATGGTTCAGGTGTCAGCCGGTGGATGAGGCTGTAAGTGTCAGCCGACTTAGCACACTTCAGGTAGTCGGTTTCTTCTTTATCTGCTAAGTAGAGGCGGACAGGAGGCGGCACACGTCTCAAGAATTCTTCAACAAGCATCAGGTTGACGAGTTCTGTAAAAGTAGAGACATGTGCTGCTTCCAGCCATTTCATGAAATACCTCCGTTTCGTGTTAGCAAACTCTAGGAAGGTAGTGGTACTTGCCTTCAGGTGGTCACGGAATTTCCTTCTATAACTTTCGGTGGAAAGTAGGTAGGCGTCTAACACTGCTTGTTTCAGAGTGTAGTAGTCATTCTCAGACGCCAAAGTACTGAGTGTGACTGCAGCTCTACCTGTAAGATGGACTCTGAGAAGTGTGGCCCATTGGTCGACAGGCCAACTGAGTTGATTAGCAAGGGTTTCAAAGGTGGTGAAAAAAACATCAACTTCTGCTTCTACAAAGGATGGCATTAACTTACTTGCATGTGATATATTAAAACTGACGGGAAGATTGGCAGTAGCTTGCTGGCGTTGAGCGAGGTGTGAAGTTTCCAACGTGTATTCCCGTTGACGACACTCAAGAGCCAGAGTCGCTTGTTGCTTGTCATGTTCGCGTTGTATTTCCAACTCGCGTTGTTTGGTTTCAAGCTGTAAGCGTTCCCGCTCCTGGAGTGTTTCAAGCTGTACTCGTTCACGTTCACGGAGCATTGCCAACTCACGTTCCTTGAGGGCGATCTCTTCCCTTCGTATGTCAGCTGCTTCCCTTTGCTGTTCACGGGCTTCCCTTTGCTGCTCACGTTCAATCTTGGCCAGCTCTAGTTTGAGTTTCAGCGTTGCCAAATCAGTTTTATCTGCAATATAGTAAGTTTCATGAGTTTCAGAGTCTATCTTACCTTGCTCTAAATAGTAATCCAGCAACAGGTTGTGTAGGTCATTTTTGTTGGCTTGGTAGGGAACTTCTAGTTGATACTCATGTGCAAGAGTTTGTAGTTCAGTCCTCTTGGCACGACTTAAAGTCCCTATTTCACCTGCTGGATTTGCACGGAAAGTTTGGAGACGAAACATGGTGAAATTAGCAAATAAAGGTACACGAATGTTCAATAATGAAATGTCAGAAACAGGACAACGTGGCAACTGGTACCTATCCTATGTGATCTTTAACAATTAACGTTAAGTGAAAGATATTAAATTAAATCAAGGGCGCAGGAAATCTTGTACCCGGTACTCATGTAAGAGAATAAGGGCAAGAAAATCCTACTAACAAATGAAACAAAGTTTCGAAAACAAATGAAACAGTTAAATGCTTCAAAAGTAAAATTGGTAGTCCAAGGATGTAGGCATACCTTGCCAAGTCTCTATAGGACATAAAGCAAGTTTTTCCTACTGAATTTAATATGATACTTACAGAATTAGCGAACTTTTGTGCTCTGAAAAAATAAGCTAATTCCCTACCGTTGTATGTATCATCATCTCTGACTGACGTGTAGGGGTGCGAGGTGTCAACTGGTGACGAGAACTGCTGCTGAGGTCCCAATTCAGCAACTAAAGTTCGAGCTAGAGGAACTATGGCCCTCTTTGTCCTCCTACAGTCAGATTGCAGAAGATTGGGTACTCTTGACCCGGGGCAGACCACAGTACCAGGGTACCAATATGATGATCTGTCAGAATGAGAAATATTCAAGGGACATAGATGGTAAATACGAGTAATAACAAGGAGGGAGAGATGACCAATTAAGAGTATGACTGCGGCCTACAGTCACCACGTAATCCAAAGTTGTCTCACCTTCACTATATGTTACTCTCGTAATGCACAATACACCGCACCTTATAAAAATGAAATTGAATGAAAAATAGTAAAGCTACGTTAACAAAGTTAAATACGCTTACCATAAATTACCACTTGGCACCAGTACCTGAGTGAGGCTCCTAGGACAGGCCCCCATATAACTTGTGACGGTAACGCGTTGGTGTTCGGCTGTTTAAGGCTAGGGGTATGGCCTCGTCACATAGTTATAAAAAAAAAATAGAAAAACTGGAACTTCGTCTGTGGTAAGGTAAGGAGAAGACACACAAAACACAAGTAAAACTTTAACAATGAAATTTTAATTACGTTAAATAAATCAAAACATGAAAATATGGACAAACAAATATGTATAATAAAATCAATGAATCAAAATAATAAGAATACTTAAATGACACAATGAAAGTTACGTTAAGGCAAAATAATAAGAAGTGCAACACAAAAGTTAAGTGGGAGGTGCTGGAATATTGGCTTAAAGCCACCACCTCTCTCAGTACACGCTAACGTCTAGCTGGGAGGAGTGCTGGCTACGAAAGCACGGAACATTCTGAGGACTGATGTTGGGGCGACCCCAGACATCAGGTAGTATTGGGGGCGAGTGCAGGTGCAGCCAGACCGGCGACCAATCAGCGGAGCCGTAGCGATCAACGGGTAGTTTGGTGGTTGGAGTTCGAACAGGTGGCTGGTTGCATACGTTTCTGCTCACCCTGGCAAGCCTTGCTGGTGCTGGTGTTGTTGTACATTTCTTCCATAGTCTTTTTATATAATTGTGAAGACGTAATTTTGGAGGGAAGAGCAGGCTCAATCTCTTGAAGGAGATTATCGTCACAATATATATATATATATATATATATATATATATATATATATATATATATATATATATATATATATATATATATGAGAAGAGGAGTGAGGTCTGTCTGGGTTTTATTCTTCCATCTATCTGTTCATCTATTTCTCCATCCATCCATCAGTCTGTCTGTCCATATATATGTCCATCTATCCATCCAACTACAAATTTGTATATCATTTTATCTATTTATCCGTTTATCCAAGCATCTATCCACTTACCCATTCCTTTCCCCCGTCCCATCCCAGATCCTTATCCTCGCCCCCTTCTAAGTGCTATACAGTCTTCGTGGCTTGGCGCTTTTCCCTGATAGTTTCCTTCCCTTTTCCGAAATCAGTGAAGAGTGGGGCATATCATTGATTTTTTTTTTTTAGTTTGTTTTGAAAATATTCAGCTGTGTAGCTGGCGGCCAGTCTCAAAGTTAGAGGCCAAGGGCTAGCCTCACCCAAATTGGCAGAGGGAATGGTCTGAGGTTCGGGATGAACATAGGTTGGTCCGCCGAATTCAGAAGGAAACAGTGTGGCAAGATTACATTCAGATTCCCCATCGACGATTTTTTGCTAACCCTGCACATATTTTGAAAACCAAAAAGCTTCACATTTATTATATTTTTTCCTTATAATAATATTCAACATTATTCACCGATGTCAGGAAAATTAGCAGACTAATTTCTGATAATCGTATTTTCGCCATCAGCTCGATAAAACACGTAGGTTAAATACAGCCACCGCTGCTCCCACAGCCAAATTAACCTCCCTGCTGCTCGTAGAAAACTAAAAGCTAACTCACAAAGTCGAACGGGGGCAACTATTATTTTCTGAGTGAATGTCATTTTATTAGTAATATTGAAGGATAGAGGGCGGAGAAACAGGGGATGAGGGGGAGAGGGGATGTGAAGGGGAGGGGGATGACGAAAGGATTGGGGAATGGGGAGGCGAATGAAGGGGGATAGGGGAGGAAGGGAGAAAGAGGGGGATAGGGGAGGAAAGGAGAAAGAGGGGGATAGGGGAGGAAGGGAGAAAGAGGGGGGACAAAGGGATGGGGAAGAGTGGGGAAGACGAGATACTTGCGGTAAGGGGAAGCGGGGTAGGAAGGAAAGATGGGGAGGACGAGGGGAGGGGGGGGATTTGATGGGTTGGGAAGGACGAGGGAAAGGGGTTAAATTAAATGCTCTAAGAAATATAAGTAATTATAAACACCCTCAAGCCACTGTCATGGCGTTAAGTGTGTAATGTGGTGCGTGATGTCCGTGGAGTTTGCAGTGTCATCATAATATAATTTCTGATAATTGAGAAACTAACTAATCATCCTGTGTGATGGGGATTGTTCAGCATCACGTAGCTAGCTTTTTGACACTGTACTCCCCTTTCATACAGCCTAGGGTAGCTGCACAAATGCAGATGTACCTAATATATTAATAAAAAAAAATAATAATTTCTGAGATTCATACAATTGTTTCAGTGCTATATGAAAACAACTTTGCAACTTGAAAGAAATTGAAACGGGTTAAAAGGGGGGAGGGAAGAGAGGTGGAATGAGGAATCAAGAGAGAGAGACAGAACACTCCGGGTACCGCCGGGTACCGCCGGGTACCTCCCATATATATAAAAAAGACTCTGAAATTGGTTTCCCAAATTATCAAAATTAGGTAAGACGATAGAGACATTATTTATTCACACAGTAACGTTGGTTGTGGATGTTAGTGTGGCAATCCTATATGGTGTTGCAAACGCTACGATGCCACTCCTATACCTATATGGTGCTGCAAACACTACCAAGGTTGGTCTAGGTGTGTACCTGTGTCGCTTCTTGTGGACGAAGGGGAGCGGGGTGTTGGTAACGGTGGTGTCGTCCTCGGGCCGGTAGTAACTCCTGATGTGACTCGTCACCTGCCGGAGGAGTGAAGGACGAGCGTCACAGGCTGAGGAGGACCTTGCTTAATGTACAGTCTGAAGGAGACCAACATGTCACCCTTGGTCATGGACGTTTAACTCTATGTTACATTGGGAGTGGAAACTCTCCCTGTCCACTTACACATATATCTCAAAGTTATCGAGACCAATAATTCCCGCTTTATTATAAATGTATAATAGATGAGTAAATATGTTCCTGTTAAGTGTAACAGGTTACCATGCAAACCCTATGAACATCTGTGTGATGAACACGATGAGTCACAATAACGTGGCTGAAGATCTGATGACCAGACCACACACCAGATGATGAGGAGACTAATACACTTGATAAAGGTGGATTAATCCACTTGAAAAAAGTGGATTAGATGGAGGGGGGGAAGATGTAATGATATTTCTCCTGATGTAACCATCAGATACCTATCATCATCATAACCCTGATGGTTACATCAGGGGGAAGCGCCAAGCCATTACGACTATAAAGCACTTGGAAGGGGTCAGGATAAGGATTTGGGAAGGGACGGGGGGCTAAAGGAATGGTGCCCAACCACTTGGACGGTCGGGGATTGAACGCCGACCTGCATGAAGCGAAGTCCAGGATGGACTTCGTCGTCTCCTCCTCTTCTGGTTTGGAAGACGACGACGTTTGGCCATCCTCAGTGTGATACTGTCGAATATACTGCATATCAGTGTAAACAGTTTCTCCTCAGCTTCTGAAGGAGAAGCTGAGGAGAACAGCTTCAAGCTTCTCCAAAAGCTTCTCCACCTGCACCAACCTACCCTGGCTTTGCGTCAGGGTAGAAAAAAACAGAACAGTTCGAAGCATAAATTTGTTACGAGGTCCAGAAGTGGTGGTCTTCACCAGACCTGAACTGGAGCTGTGACGGTTAGCGTGTCCATCAGCCAGCGAGAGTGAACGGTCCCGGGGCACCAGACCCGTGTGTGTGTGTGTGTGTGGACCACACCACGCCTGCCTGCCTGTCTTCCTGCACACAACGCCTGTCGCAGAGACCACACACCTGCAGGAGGAACCTCATACCTGCAGGAGAGACTACACAACTGCAGGAGACCATACACCTGGAGAAAAGACACCACATACCTGCGGGGGAGAGAGAGAGACCAGACACCTACAAAAGACAGACCACACACACACACATCTGCAGGAGAGAGGCCACACACCTGCCAGGATAATCTACCTGTAAATATAAAAGCAATACACACACCCGACATGTACGTTCCCTCCTACCCCATCACCCCCACCTTCTCCACCCACACCTGCACCCTCTCCAACACACACTCCACATCCCCACCCAATATAGACCCCTCCCCTCACTCCACAACCCCACCTCTAGGCCACCTCCTCACCTCCACCCGCGCGAGTGTACTCACCTAATTGTGCTTCGCATGTTCAGCTTTGGCTCTTTGGTCCCGCCTCTCGACTGTCAATCAACTGGTGTACAGGTTCCTGAGCCTACTGGGCTCTATCATATCTACATTTGAAACTCCATGGACTCCATGCTAGAGCCGCATACTCCAAGATTGGTCTGACATATGTGGTATATAATGTTCTGAAAGATTCCTTAGACAAGTTTCTAAAGGCCGTTCTTATGTTAGCCAACCTGGCATATGCCGCTGATGTTATCCTTTTGATATGAGCTTCAGGGGACAGGTCTGGCGTGATATCAACCCCCAGGTCTTTCTCTCTCTCTTTCTGACTCTTGAAGTATTTCATCTCCCAAATGATACCTTGTATCTGGTCTCCTGCTCCCTACTCCTATCTTCATAACATTACATTTGCTTGGGTTAAACTCTAACAACCATTTGTTTGACCATTCCTGCAGCTTGTCCAGGTCTTCTTGAAGCCTCAAGCTGTCCTCCTCTGGCTTAATCCTTCTCATAATTTTGGCGTCGTCAGCAAACATTGAGAGGAATGAGTCTATACCCTCTGGGAGATCATTTACGTATATCAGAAACAGGATAGGTCCGAGTACAGAGCCCTGTGGGACTTCACTGCTGACTTCACGCCAATCTGAGGTCTCTCCCCTCACTGTAACTCTCTGCTTCCTATTGCTTAAGTACTCCCTTATCCACTGGAGCGCCCTACCAGTTACCCCTTCCTATTTCTCCAGCTTATGCATCAACCTTTTATGGGGGACTGTGTCAAAGGCTTTCCGACAGTCCAAAAAAATGCAGTCCACCCATCCTTCTCTTTCTTGCTTAATCTTTGTCACCTGATCGTAGAATTCTATTAAGGCAAGATTTACCCTCCCTGAACCCATGTTGATGGGTTGTCACGAAGTCCCTTCTCTCCAGATGTGTTTCTAGGTTTTTTCTCGCGATCTTCTCCATCACCTTGCATGTGTGTGTGTGTGTGTGTGTGTATGTGTATGTGTGTGTGTGTGTGTGTGTGTGTGTGTGTGTGTGTGTGTGTGTGTGTGTGTGTGTGTGTGTGTGTGTGTGTGTGTGTGTGTGTGTGTGTGTGTGTGTGTGTGTGTGTGTGTGTGTGTGTGTGTGTGTGTGTGTGTGTGTGTGTGTGTGTGTGTGTAAGATGGAGACCTGAGGTCGTCCAGGTAGGAGCTCCACCGTGTAACAAAGTCCCCTGGTAAGATGATGTTCGTCTCTGACCGCCAGACACTGGCGTGACAATTAAAACACGAAAGGAAAGTCACTCCGCATCTGACATGAAACTGGAAATTTGGCAAGAGCCGAACACCTTCCCCCACCGCTCCCGTCACCACACCGCGAGCAAGTGGCCAGCAGGGCCATAGTGGCCACGGCTGACGTAGTAGCCACGGCTGACGTAGTGGCCACGGCTGACGTAGTAGCCACGGCTGACGTAGTGGCCACGGCTGACGTAGTAGCCACGGCTGACGTAGTGGCCACGGCTGACGTAGTAGCCACGGCTGACGTAGTGGCCACGGCTGACGTAATAGCCACGGCTGACGTAGTGGCCACGGCTGACGTAGTAGCCACGGCTGACGTAGTGGCCACGGCTGACGTAATAGCCACGGCTGACGTAGTGGCCACGGCTGACGTAATAGCCACGGCTGACGTAGTGGCCACGGCTGACGTAGTAGCCACGGCTGACGTAGTGGCCACGGCTGACGTAGTGGCCACGGCTGACGTAATAGCCACGGCTGACGTAGTGGCCACGGCTAGCGCAGTCACCCCTCCACCTAGCACTCCTAGCTGCTGTTCACTTAATATTCTATATTCTTTCAAAGGCGACATTGGCTCCCCGCGCGGACGCAGACCCATATCAATATATAAGTGACTGTGTCTCCGCTGGTGACATCAAAGGCTTTCTTCCTCCCTGCTGCGAAGTCTCGCCCTCCTCGCTGGACGGCGGCGGCGTCTTGGGCTCGGGGACGTGGGTGGCCGAGAATAATTATGGGCTCTCATGACCGACTTGCTGAAGTAATTTTCTTCCTTCAGAGAATCTCGATACAAATCTTGAAGTTGGTATGTCTTTCATGGTGGTGAATTTGGAGAGTTCTTTGTCAATATCGACAGGGTTTAACATCAATGTTTTTTTGTTTACGCTTATACGCCTTGTGGTCAAGAGACCTCAGATACCTGGCGAAGGCGTGGGTAATAGTGTACGAATAATGACGCTGATGATCACAGTATTCATCAGAACAGCAGCAACAACAGCACCTACAACGCCAACAATAAAACGACCGTTATGACAAAAACAAAAGTACAGCAACTGTAGCAAAGGTTACAGAAACATTAATAACATCTATAACAAGACAAGCGACAATTACAACGACAGTACTCAATCCTTATCGTGATTTTGAAAAACCTTCCACAGATGGCGTCACAGTGATGGGCGAAACGGAAGTTTACCTAAAGAAAGACTGTAAAGGCTCTTTTGGAGATGGTGAGAGGATGCTGGAGGAGTTTGAAGTTTGAGGAAAGAGCATGGGGGTGGATTTTATAAGGGGAAAGAGCATGGAGATGGATGTTATAAGGAGGAAAGAGCTTGGAGATGGATGTTATAAGGGGAAAGAGCTTGGAGATGGATTTTATAAGGGGAAAGAGCATGGAGATGGATGTTATAAGGGAAAAGAGCTTGGAGATGGATGTTATAAGGGGAAAGAGCTTGGAGATGGATGTTATAAGGGAAAAGAGCTTGGAGATAGATGTTATAAGGGGAAAGAGCTTGGAGATGGATGTTATAAGGGGAAAGAGCTTGGAGATGGATGTTATAAGGGGAAAGAGCTTGGAGATAGATGTTACAGTGTCGTAGACGTTGGAACTTGGCGACTGATGCTGTAGACTAAGGAGCTTGGAGATGGATGCTGTTGAAGGCAGAAGCTCGGAGATGGTTGTGAAGCTGGATGAAAAAGATTGGGATTGGAAGGGTGAGGGGAGGGGGGGGGAACTATGGAGTCGAAGGGAAATATATGCAGCTAAAGGGAGGTGAGGGGGACGGGAATGGAGTATAAGTCATAAAGTTTGAGTTAAGACTGTGAAATCGGACCTTAAGGATGGAAGCAAGAGGTTGGTGTACCCAGAGCACAGGTTGGAATCCTCTTCATGGCTCATACTAATTTTTCTCATTGATACACCACGTTAAGGTGATATCTTGGTGCACGGGTAACATGATGTTAGAGATGGAGCTAGAATGATGGAATTATATTTTAAGATTGACCACTAGATACATGAAAGAGGATGAAGATCAAAAGTGGAAGATAGACGATAAAGACACACACACACACACTAAGACAGGATGTTGGAGGGAGATAAGACTTGAGAGTAATGAACGATGAGTTAAACCAAGTGGAAGGTGGCCAAGGGGGGCCCGGGAAGCTTCGCAGAACATGTTAACCATTACGGAGTGTGCAAGGAGCTCTGAGTGGCCCCACTCTGTCTCAAGCCCACGTTCAACGCTCGGCTGCAGTTAGCATAAATCCCTGTCGTGGGGTTCATATACTTGTCCGGGAGCCTGGCGTTAATGTGACCAGGATGCATAAAACAGTAATACTGGTACGCGATAGACAGCGGAGAGATCCCCCTGCATGTCAATAGCAACTGGCCTCCCATGGCCGTCCTCGTGGTGAATACCCGAGCCCGGGCGAACAAAGAGCGAGAGAAAGGTGGTGGTGGTGGTAGAGGCAATAACAGTAAGAGAAAGAGACAAGAGTTGAATAAAACGAGAGCCATAACCAAAGGATGAATAATGATGCGTACAAACACAAGCCGAGATGGTTTTCCAGGCGTATGTGGGAGGCAGCGGTTGGGATGGTAATTGTGGCTCCTCCACATGCTCAGGTGTCTGTGACTGAGGAGTTGATGGGTTCCAATCAAGCTTTCCTTTCATGCATATACATCTTACACGTACACACCTGTACTTGCATCAAGACAAACACACACACCCTTCACGTACTCATTAGCAACCAAGAGAGCGCGAACATGAATACACACACACATACATACATACATACATGTAGATATGAAAAAGCCCAGAAGGCTAGGGAACTTAAATACCCGTCCCCTGATGATTGAAAGACGGACCCCGGAACTAAAGCTTAACCTAAAGCAAGCACAACTGGATGAAAACATACACACTAAACCAAATCCAATCATAAGAAGGAACTATGTATTGAAATTAATAACAATTAGTATAAAACAAACTTTTACTCACATCATCTTTAGTCTCGAAGACTTTCCTGTGCTTTTCCAGAAGGTGCGCCTGGAACTCTGTGGCGTAGTTGCTCTTGAAGACGTCACACTCAAGTAACCGGTCGTTTTTGGAACTCAGACTTGAAGACTCTTTACTGCTAAAGCAGAGTGGTTCTCCTTCACACAGAGACTGAGATTCGTCAATGTCCATAGACTTGGGAACACAAAAATCCAGGGTTTTTGAGTTTCCGGGCTCGAGGGGTTGGGTGGATGATGTTCCAGAATGAAAGCAATGAGATGGGGATGATCCAAGATTAAGGACCTGAGAAGTGGACGGACAAAGATTAAGTGCTTGAGTGATGGGTGATGCTAGATTTAGAGACTGAGAATTGGGAGAACCAAAGTTGAGAGACTGAGAAGTTGTGGAACCAATAGTTAAAGTGTGAGATGTTGACGCGCCAATATTGATAGGCTCAGAAATAGACACTCCAAGACTGAGAGGTAGAGAGGTAGACACGCCAAGATTGAGAGGCTGAGAGGTAGACACGCCAAGATTGAGAGGCTGAGAGGGAGACGAGTCAAGATTTAGAGTCTGAGCGGACTCAAGGTTGGACTCGGAGACCGGGACTTTATCATAGGTTGCTTCAGGGTCTTGACTACTGTCACACAGCCGACACTCGTACATGAACCTGCCAGGGTGACGCTTGGTCTTCAACATATGCTTGCGCAAGTTCTCCTGAAACAGGTTTTAGAAAGTCAAACTTATCGTACCAACCATTATTCAATGTCCCACTCAAGATGCAAAAGTATATCATTAGTTCAGAATTCATATTAAATGTACACCCACACAGAAAAGCTTTATTGGCTACTGTAATTTGTGTGATTGGAATACAATGGAATACACACACAGCAGTGGTACGAACCTAGCTTAGCTCACCTGATTATTACAGACGTAGGCGCAGTAGGGGCAGGAGAAGGGTGTGGAGCCGGTGTGGAGGCGCAGGTGTCGGCGGAGGTGTGGGAGGCGGGCCGTGGTGTAGTTACAGTGAGGACACCCATACTCGTCTCCTGCACTCTGCTTGTGGCCCTGCCGGTGACTGGACACGCAACACAAACAGTTCAGTCTTAACCAAACAGTCATATGCACCCACGCCGCACAATTGGGTCGTAAATTAAAGTCTCCAAATTGATACAGTAGAACATATTGAATCAATATTTCTTGTAGACATGTGTTATTGATTTTGACCAAAGGGTTTGGTCAATAATTCTAGTAACGAATATTCTGCATATTTCTTATATTCTTCACTTGGGATGGCAGTTGAAAAATTAACTCAGAATTTTACTGTTACTGAAGGAGCGTTCTAAAGTTCTCTCCAGCATCTACGGCGGAAGAGAAAGAGCAAACACCTAATGACAAGTACGTAACGACGGGCGTCTGGGAATCACCAGGTCGCTAGTTCAAGTCACTCCATTAACTCAAAATGATTTTAATTGATATATCATGCCATTGTGATTTCCCTGCGACACGATGTAATGACAGGTTTGACATTATTCACATTAAGTGCTGATGAATGGTCCATTCACTGATGCTGAGCAGTGATCGATACAACGGTGCTGAGCCCGGGCCGATTCCCTCGTGCTCAGTAGTGACAGATTCACTGGTGCCGAGGTGTGAATCATTCTCTGCCTGCAGGCATGAACGATTCATTTATCAGAATTAAAAGCGTCGAGTTATGGAAAGTGTACCGGCTGACGTTCTTGACGAAGTGTCGTGTACGGTTGGGCTACAAGCAGCTGTGACAGAGTATCGATGTGTACACAGTATATGTGTACAGTGTACGTGTACACAGTATAGTAAATGAATGTTACTACACGTGTACATACACCCCCCCCCCCCGTTACCCCTGCTTACTTACATTAAATACGCTTGTGTTACAAGTAGCTTCAGCAGTAGAGAAGGTGAGACAGACACTTCTGTCTACGAGACAACGTAGTTCTCATACCGGGCGATATTTCTGTCCTACGAGCCGGACAGGTAAGTGGGATAGTGCGGCTAGCGTGAACACCTGTCAGTCAGTCACCCCACATCCTGTCACTGACGGGTGATAGTTGACAGAGTAGTCATGCTGATAGTGAATAGACGTGGAGGAAATTGTCCTCTTGCTCCACACAACTTTTAAATCATTATTCCACGCCAAAAAAAGCAAAGTAATACGTCAAATACTGACTAATGTAGAATTCAGTCAATATTTGACTTACACGTTGTGAGGCCGAGGATCCTTTTGTTTTGATGCTGGAGTGTGTTATTTCAGCACCAAAGTTCAAATGTAGTGGAAGTGCCACAGAGTGAACACTTACTGAACATCCTCTCCCGGGAAAACTCACATCTCGTTCAACTCACGTAAAGACTAAGGTTGTGTAAGCGGGAGGTTTTAGCGACTGAGTGAGTTAGTGGGGGAGACGGGTCGCCTAGCCAGTTGTCCCGCAGCACCCGGGTCTACCTTCCTGTCTCGCTTGATTACCCTCACAACACTGTGAGTGGCGCCCTCCCGCCCACTGGCCTTTCTCCATCTCAAACACTATTTACTCGTCCGGTTATGCTAAGACTTTGAAATGCCCTGTCATTTAAACATCAAAGTCCAACAAACGACCCCCCCCTCTAGCCTTTTCAAAATAAGATTTTGTGATGCATATACCGGCTACGATTGCCAAAAAAACAAGAGTATAGATACTCTTGGATCGAGCCAGCATTATATAAAGAATTAAATTCCGTGAAATATGTAAATATGACTTGCAGTTTGTTTTACCCAACCGTCAATATTTTCCCTTCAACATCATAATGGGCAGTTATTTGTAGCGTGGTAACGGGTTTAAACAACAGGTGTATATCAGAGGTAAGGCTTTACAAGCTGAAAGAGGGAGAGCACTTAATACACACACGCGCACACATACACACACGCGCGTGCGCCCACACACACACACACACACACAATAGGCTCAGGAATCTGTACACCAGTTGATTGACAGTTGAGAGGCGGGACCAAAGAGCCAAAGCTCAACCCCCGCAAGCACAAATAGGTGAGTACACACACACACACACACACATATACACACAGCCTCGCGGCTAAGAGGACAGCGCTCGTGAGTCCTAGTCCTAAGGGCCCGGGTTTGATCCCCGGCGGAGACGGAAACAAATGGGCAGTTTCTTTCACCCTGATGCTTTGTTCACCTGGCAGTAAATAGGTACCTGGTAGTTAGACAGCTGCTACGGGCTGCTTCCTGTGTGTGTGTGTGTGTGTGTGTGTGTGTGTGTGTGTGTGTGTGTGTGTGTGTGTGTGTGTGTGTGTGTGTGTGTGTGTGTGTGTGTGTGTGTGTGTGTGCGCGTGCGAGTGTTAGAGCGAAATATATATGTAGTAAACATAATAGAGGAAAAATAGATTGGTTAGAAATGCGGGGTCAAAGAGTCAATAGCTCGATCCTGCAGACACAAATAGGAAATACAAATAGTAAATACACACAAACACACGCTCGCACAGATGTAATCGATGCTAATTCAATACACAGTTTAAAAATATAAATATGATGATATAATAGCGAAAAAAAATCATTGCACTGAACTACTGAATTAGGTGCAGTAAATCTTGGAGAGTATATATATATATATATACTCTCCAAGATTTACTGCAGGTAAACACAAACCGTAACTGTCTCTATTTTCCGCTTGTTACAACTTGTAATAAAGTTGTTACATTTTGGCTTAACGTGTTTATGACGTATTAGAACGTTGTTACAACTTGCTATATTGGTTGTTATAACTGGTTAGGAGGTGTTAAAACTTGTCCGAACGTTGTACCAACGTCGTAGTTTCGGTGTGTGTTTGCAGGTACCAAGTAATACTGTTATCATAAAGACCAAGAAAAGAATGAAACGAGACCGAGAACTTACACCTTAAGCTTGTTGCAGGTCTCACACTGGACCCCACACACGTCGCACAGCAGCGAAGGAGGCGGTGGGAGCCTTTTACCCCTGCGGCTCCTCAAGCACGACCTATGGCACGACTTGGGTTCAGAGTCTGCCTGGGAGCCTTTGTCTGAAGGTGGGGAGGGAGGGGCGTGGGTGTGGGCCTCCTGCGTGTGGCGGTGCAGGTGCCATCTGGAGGGAGCAGGAAAGATGGCATCACTCAGGCGTGGCATCAACAAGCACACATTCCTGTGACTGATTCACTTCTTGCGTCTCAATATTTACATAAGAAAGTCTAACTCAATATTCAACTTCGGATACATATTATGACAGATATTATAGGATGTGTGGATGTGTGGATATTTCCTAAAAACACTTAACGCCCATTGACTTATTAAGCCCAATTTGAGTCAATTAAATGTTTTCAACCTATTAGTGTCTTCTGCAAAAACCCTCATTCAAGATGAATTTTTATCTGACCTGCCATGTAGTGGGTTATCAGTAGGTCCATAAGATTTGCTGGCTAGTAAGCAAGGCACATGTCTAAAGTCAAGTCAATAAAATTAATGCCTTTATAAATTAATCTGATTCCGATAAACTACTTTGCTAAGAAAAGAACAAACTGTTTGCTAAGCAGGGAGCGATTCAGTCATTTCCGCAGCACAGAAAAAAAGGTTCATATTCCATGTATTTTCCAATATTGATCCCAATATTAAACAGCCAAAGTAATTAACTTGCCTGTTAAGAAGTGTTTTGCCGCAGGTGTGGCAGAGAGCGGGGGCATGGTTGGCCCGAGAGCCGTCACTCTGAGTGTGGACCATGGTCAGGTGTCTCTCCAGCCACAGCTGTTGCGGGAACTTCCTGGAGCAGAGGTGACAGGCATACGGCCACTCGTTACTGTGGCTCAGCATGTGGCCCTTGACGGAGGAGAGCCGTAGATTGGTCTGCCGAAGGATAGATCATAAATCAAGGTATATTCGCCTAACAACTGGGTGTATTGTCTACAGTTGTCTCAGTCTTTATCAAGTAGTCGTACACGTGAAAACAAAATCCTGTTAGTTACCTTACATATATGGCAGACATAACGCGTGTCGGGACCACGCTGACCGTGCGTGAGAGTCTTGTGTGCCAACACGTGAGCTAGCAGGTCATTCTTAAAGTTGCACAAGTCGCACTTATGATCACCTGTCAGATCCTGCGGGACGCCGGAACAGAATCGCTGATGCTGTGCTAGATCGGAGCGGAGTGGAGGTACCACGCCACACAAGTGGCAAGGTGTGCTGTCTTTCTTGTGCTCCTGGCACATGTGTCGCCGCAAAGCGGGGAGGTCCTCCAGCTCCTCGTAGCAGAGGCTGCAGGTCCTCACCACAGACATGCCACTCTGGCGCTCTAGGGTTGCCCGGTGCTCGGCCGACCGCCTGTGTAATTCCGCCTGACGATGGGTGGAAAAGGCGAGGCCGCAGACGAAACAGTGGTAAGATGTACTTTTACCATTCTTATTCTCGTGGGTCTCTCTGATATGAGCACGAATTTGTCGCTCACGTAATGCCTTGAAGGTACAGTGAGGGCAGCGAAGGCTTCGTTGATCACTGGCCTGAAAGCTGGAGTCTTTGTGATGAATCCTGCAATGGGTACGGTACTGCCGCCGGTACCTGAAGGCTCCGTCTCCCAGCGGACATACTACCGCCGTCCTGCTGCTTAATATTACTTGTCGCGCCTGCAGCACCGTGTCTCGTGCGTTGTCTAGATGATGAGGTGTTTGCAGGTGCCGGAGAACCCCAGAGAGTTGCATCTCATCTTCGTCAGTACAAGCGGAACATACATACAAGGTCTTCACCTCATCGTCTTCAGGGCCAGCAACATGTGTTTTCATGTGAGTAAAAAAATCTTCTTGCAAGTTGCAGTAGAACTTGCACTCACTACACATAAATGGTGACGTTTTTAAAATTGCGCTAAAATTATTGAGTATTATTTGATTAAAATTGTCATCAATTTCGTCACATGTGTTCTGCTTATACTCCAGCTCGTTGTGGATGTGCGCCAGAGAGGCGATGTGCAGCGCGGTGTAAGGTTCTCCGAAAGACAGCTTGCAGATGGGGCACAGAAGTTTTGGGGTCACCACTGACACTTTTTGTACTTCTTCCTCTTCGTCCACGTTAGCTTCTTTCTTCACTTCCTGCTTAACACATGGCAACGTCTTGTCTACAAGCGCTTCATTTGTACTTTTGGGCATATTGGTCCGCTTTGACGTCTGGATCTTGTTCTTCTCACCAGAAGACACAATTTTTCTGCTCTTCATCTGTGCAATGGTTGACTTTAGGAAGCTCTGTGCTTCCAACTTCTTTGATCTGACTGGTCTGCTAGATATTGTTGATGAAGTAATCACTTTAGAGGTTTTAATTATATTCCTTCCTGAGGCCTTGTTTATGCCTACGAGGTGGAGGTCAGAGTTGGTGTGGCGTTCATGTGGACTTTTTTTGCCGGGAAGCCACTTACCTTTAGTGTGTGATGGAGGAGGTGGTATTAGCGAGTCGTCATCTTCCTCTGCATCATCGTCCTCCATGTCCTCCTCTTCATCCAGATCAATCTTTGGTGTGGACGGCCTCCACTTCCCGCCGACAGAGGGAGGTGGTCGGCTGCCGGGTCTCCACTTACCTCCAGTGTGATGATGAGGCGGTCTTGTGTCGTCGTCCTCATCTTCATCGAGCTCCTCGTCGCCTTCGTGTCGTCTCTTCGTAGGTGCCTTGACACTGCTCCTCAGCTCAAGTGAAGAGAGAAAGTCGTCTTGGCGAAGTTCAGAGTTTTCCTGAGCAGTGTGTTCGTTCCCGGAGGGCAACTGAGGCTCGCTGTACTTGAGATTACCTTCTTTAAACTCTGCTCCGGAGACTCCTAGCTCTTGATTACTTCTTTTCTCCGTGTCTAGCTCTCTCTCCTTAGTGTTTTGATTTTCAAGGTTTTCTTCTATTTTCATAAGTATCTGTGCTGCCTGTTTAGCTTTGCATTGTTCGAGTGTTGGAACTGCCGACAGGAGAGTCTCCTGTGGTGGAGGCTGAAGGGAATAAAATTCAGAATATCTCGATTCAAAATTTTGGCTTTCAAGTTCATAGGACGTAGAGGCAACCTTAAAGAGAGTTATAGCTTCGCTGTGAGACTCGGACTCTCCTTCTGGCTGGATCTTACTGTGGTCGTTAAAGGTGTCAAACTGCCTGAAAAGCGATATGTTAGCGGACTCCTGACCATGAGGCAAGAGAGGGTCGCTGTAACTAGTGAAGGGAGCCTGCGAGGGCGTCTGTGTGTGACCTAGGCGCAAGGATTCCTGGTGCTTACGCTTCAGTGAGGAGTGCCCATTGCTGATTTGAGATTCTGAGTGAGACTGGGGCAAGGCAGAAGTAAACTCCTCCATGACGGTGTATGAATCATGAAGGGGACTCACTTGTGCTCTCGACACCGGCAAAATCACTGCTGCTTGCTGCTGCTGCTGCTGCTGCCTTACATAACAACTGCCCAGCTGCACAGAGGTTGACGACGCGTATTTGGCACCGTCAACATTTCCTTCCGGGTGGCTCAAAGCCTCCTGAGACTCCTCATGGCTCGCAAATTTGGCGTCGCGTTGAAAGGTCTTGCTGGCGGATGAGTACTGCACTACGGTCTCCTGGCCACCACCACCACCACCACCGGTCTTGCCTGAGTCCTCCCTCTCATAGCTCTCTCTACCCTTGTCTGGCTGCTGTGGGTGGCGATGCTTCGTTTTCTGTGCGACGGCGGGAGCGCATCCCGCCCGCCGGTGGCTAACGTAGTTATTCAAACCAACGATAGTTGCTCGACAACGGAGGCACATGTGGGCATCCTCCACCTCGTCCATACCTCACGTTGGCGTCTACCGAGGTAGGGACCTGCCAGAGTAGATGTATGTCTACTTAGAAACGTTTTATAGCAAAAAACATGACCAAACAAATTATAATAAACTCCTGGAGCAACACCGGTGCTGACTCCTCACCTGCGGAGAGATAAGGTGACGCAAAACACATTAATACTGACGATCAGTCACAATAACGTGGTTCAAGATATGATAACCAAACCACATATCAGAAAATGAAGAAACGTCGACGTTTCGGTCCGTCTTGAACCATTACATGACAATGTAATTGCATTATCATATAATGGTCCGAACCGAAACGTCGTCATTCCTTCATTTTCTGATGTGTGGTGTGGCCATCAAAGTTGACACAGCGAGTACCTAAACAGCTCTTCAAACAGTCCGGGGCGTCTAATGTGGCCTCGCTCTGGGGGAGGAAAGGGAAATATTAGATATTTACATCAAGATACCTGTCTGTTAGCCTTGAAAACTTTGTCATGTATCCCAGCATCTGGAACAGAGCCGGTGTATATAGCTACGAGCACGGCTTCATTAGCCTTGGAAATCAGAGATAATGACTGGAACGCCGTCAGGTGAAGGTTACCTGATGCTTGACATCAATATGAAGCTGTAACATATGTAATTCACCCCCCCCCTGCCCCCCACCCCTCCTCTCACACATGTGTATATATTCCGAGTGTGTGTGTTCGGCGCTCATTTGCTTGCGAGTGTGTGATGTTGAGGAATATATTAGCAAGTTATTTGTAATCCATATTAAGGCGGTGTAATCCGCGTCAGCACAAGACAAGGGCAGAAGACAGGGGGGGAAGCGTCTTACGACATGCCAGGCGGGGCTCAGGGAAAACACAGAGCGTAATAATTAACTAGAGCCAAGGAAATGCTATCTATATATATTTTTTACTGATTATTTATAAATAAATGTAACAAAACACTGTGTTGCCTCTTAACCCGAACAGCATACTGTAGTTCATTGTATACACTTCCATTGTATTTACTCGTCATTTAAAGTCTCTACGAGTGTGTGTAATATACAACTGTATACGATAAATGTCTGTTTAGTATATTTATTTACCATAAGGGCTATATGTTATATAAATGACAGCGTTTAATGGTGTTTACTGTTGAAGTGTCTCCAGCCATGCTGGTCTGCGTATACCTGCCATTCTAGTGAGGGTATACCTGCCATTCTAGTCTGGGTATACCTATCATTCTAATCTGGGTATACCTGCCATTCTAATCTGGGTATACCTGCCATTCTAGTCTGGGTATACCTGCCATTCTAGTCTGGGTATACCTGCCATTCTAGTCTGGGTATACCTGCCATTCTAATCTGGGTATACCTGCCATTCTAGTCTGGGTATACCTGCCATTCTAGTCTGGGTATACCTGCCATTCTAGTCTGGGTATACCTGCCATTCTAATCTGGGTATACCTGCCATTCTAGTCTGGGTATATCAGCCATGCTGGTCTGGGTATACCAATAGTGACATTGATCATGAGAGACATTAAAACACTCACACAAAACGTATCAGAATTATCATCGTCGTTTATTTGTTATGCTAAATACAATTAATTCTCTCCCTAATTCTTAGGCAAGCAATGTAATGCTCCCCAAAAAGTATCCTTATTGTTATATTTTGCTCAGCCTGTGTACTTAACAAGGTGCACTTAGAACATTAAAATATAAGGTGTTTAATTTCCAAGTATTGAAACATAAAGTATCCCTGTGTATTTTGACTTGTGTAAGTAATATATTGACTTACGACTGAGAAATATTTCTGTGTACACACAAATATATTCTCAATATTTTGAGAATATATATATTTTCTCTATATGTAAGAATATAGAGACCACATCACAACATCATCACTAAATTTGCAGATGACGTGACCCATGTAGTAACATCAAACCCGGAGGGACAATCAACCACTCCACTCCACCACACCACAATCAACTAAACACGCCACTCCACCACACCAACACTCCACACTCCCAACCAAACACTCCACTCCACCACACCAACACTCCACCACACCAACACTCCACCACACCAACACTCCCAACCAAACACTCCAAAAGCGAACTGCGAAACAGGAAAGAAAATGAAGAATCACCACTATCTTTGACAAGATCCAAATGAGCATAGTTGGATGTCAAGCATTCTCAACAGACAACGATGGTGGGGATAAGAATTAGGGGAGAACAATCAAGAACTCCAAAAATAGGCTACAATATCAACAGACTACTTAACTCCACCCCTCCCTCCTCCCCCATGGACCTGACCACATAAAACAAATCCACAAGGGCCGTGACGAGGATTCGAACCTGCGTCCAAGAGCATCCCAGACGCTGCCTTAATCTGACCACCTGATTCAACCAACTGAAAATCCGAAGTCCAAAACAAGGCACTCTGCTTCTCTGCCAACATCAACATGAATGACGGTGTAAGAGCAGACCCGCTTCACAGATTCTCTCAAGATGATAATCATGAAGTATAAGTATAGATGCCACACCTGTGACAGGTAAAAACAGTTTTGTTTTTTAAGAAACAGTGCCATCTGTTGCATGTAAGAGCAACACACACACTCTTATATGTTACGATTCCATTTCAATGTTTCCAGTTTCATTGATAAATTGAATTTTCATAGATTTCGATTTATTTTCATTTTGATTTAATTATTTTGTGTGACATTGCGTCGGAATTGAGCTTTGTTGTTTACCATATCGTTCATTTTGTGAGTATAGTGTATTTTCTTAATTTTTTATTTTTCATTTCGTTTTTTTAACTGTTCTTATTTTTCAGTGATGAGAACATCCGATCATTTGATAGTCCCAATTTTCTGACGGGAACATCAGATAATTTGGGAATGCATCGGACGAGGGAGTTGGGAATGGTGGGGAGGACGAGGGGACGGGAGTGGGGGATGGTGGGGACGAGGGGACGGTAGAGTGGGGAATGGTGGGGAGGACTGGGGGATAGGGGGGAAAGATTGCTGTGGCCGGGTACAGCTAGTAATATATATATATATATATATATATATATATATATATATATATATATATATATATATATATATATGTCGTACCTAGTAGCCAGAACGCGCTTCTCAGCCTACTATGCAAGGCCCGATTTGCCTAATAAGCCAAGTTTTCCTGAATTAATATATTTTCTAAAAAAAATTTCTTGTGAAATGATAAAGCTACCCATTTCATTATGTATGAGGTCATTTTGTTTTTATTTGAGATAAAATTTACGTAGATATATGACCGAACCTAACCAGCCCTACCTAACCTAACCTAACCTATCTCTATAGGCTAGGTTAGGTTAGGTGGCCGAAAAAGTTAGGTTAGGTTAGGTTAGGTAGGTTAGGTAGTCGAAAAACAATTAATTCATGAAAACTTTACTTATTAGGCAAATCGGGCCTTGCATAGTAGGCTGAGAAGTGCGTTCTGGCTACTAGGTACGACATATATATATATATATATATATATATATATATATATATATATATATATATATATATATATATATATATATATATATATATATATATATATATATATATATATATATATATATATATATATATGCGAGTGTAACAAGCACATTCCTATAAAAACCACCACATCTGAAGGCACAAAACATGTCTGTGGAACATATCCAAAAACATAACCTCTCCAAGAGTAAGAGCAACGCATGTACATGAGTGCCAGAGTATGTATATATGCACGCAGCAAAGTATGCATATATGCATATCCACATGTGTTGAAATACCTGTGAAGAACCACACACACACACACACACACACACACACACACACACACACACACACACACACACACACACACACACACACACACACACACACACTCACACACACACACACACACACACACACACACACACACACACAACTGGCAACTACCTCACAGGAGGAGGAGCCTACCCAAGTAGCAAGGACCATAGAACAACCTCCTACACTTGTAGGGAGTGTGGGTGAAATTGGATATAAGAAAGTGAGCTTCAAGGTAATGTACTCAAACATTGATGGGATTACCAATAAAGCAAGTGAACTGGCAGAAAGGGTGCAAGAAGAAAACCCTGATGTAATAGGACTAACAGAAACAAAATTGTCAGGAGTCATAACAGATGCTGTGTTTCCAAAGGACTACTATATAGTAAGGAAAGAGAGGGAAGGGAGAGGAGGTGGAGGAGTGGCCCTGCTGATAAGGAAGGACTGGAGTTTTGATGAGATGGAAATTCCGGGCTGTGACGGATTCAGAGATTACATAACAGGAACTATAACAATGGGTGGACCTAAGATAATAGTGACAGTCATTTACAACCCTCCCCTAAATGACAGAAGACCTAGACAGGAGTTTGATAGGAACAACATGGCAACTATTAATATAATAGAGAGAGCAGCTTCAGTTGCCTGCAGGAATGGCTCAAGACTCTTAATCATGGGTGATTTCAACCATGGAAAGATAGACTGGGAGAATGGGGACCCACATGGTGGTGCAGATACGTGGCGAGCTAAACTCTTGGAAGTGGCAACAAGGAATTTTCTGAGCCAGCATGTCAAGGAACCCACAAGAATGAGAGGCAATGATGAACCAGCTAGACTCGACTTAATATTCACCCTAAATGAGTCAGAAATAAGGGAAGTCAAAGTTGAAGCCCCCATAGGAATGAGTGACCACAGTGTACTGACCTTTGAGTACTTGGTGGAGGTAGGGATAACCTATCCAAGGATGGGAGTGGAGGGGAAAAGACTGAATTACCGAAGAGGAAAATATGACGAGATGAGGAACTTCCTAATGGGAATACCATGGGAAACAGAACTTAGAGACAAGAATGTGCAGGTCATGATGGATATTGTCACCCAAAAGTGCCAGGAAGCTGCAGACAGGTTTATCCCCGTCCAAAAGGAGAAAAACGAAAAACAACAGAAAAACCCATGGTTCAACCAGGAATGTAAGGTAGCGAAACAACTGAGTAAAAGAACATGGAGA